TGCAGAAACTCCAGGTCATTGAGAGAGCCTGTTTCAAATAAAAGGTGGACAGCATCTGAGGTCAGGCACCTAAGGTTGTCCTCTGACTTTCAACTGAGTGCTGTGGCTGGACCCCCACATGAATGAGTGCACACACACACACACACACCAACACACATATACAAAGAGGGATGTATGATGAGCCCAGGAGTTTAAACTAGCTTAGTTCTTCCTACTTGAAGTCTTTAAAAAACTTTTAAAAATGCATACTGTTCATCAAAATTTTTAAACAATTTACACTTCCTCCTAGTCCTACTGGCCCAGGAGACACAGAAGTTAAGGGTCCTAGGAATGTGTGTGTTGCATCACAGAGGCCAAAGGCAATGACCCTCGTCCTTGAGTATAAACCAGTAGCTTGGGATAAAGGATTGGCAAAGGATTCATGGACTGGGAATTAAGTACTAACTTGTTACATGAGGCTAGCAGAAGACAGTAAACTCTAAGCATCTACTACATGCCAGATGTGGGTCATTGGCTACATCCTTAATCCTTAAAATGGCTCTAGAAAAAGGAGTGGGTGGGTACAGCCCTACTTTATTGAGGGAAGAACTGAAGGAGATTAGATGTTATCTACAGCTACACAGCTGGAAAGGAGAAAAGTAACTATAGCATTCTAAAACCTAAGAGATCTGGCCCATTCAGGTGCCCAGTGAATGATGGAAATTCTCTGAGTCCGGTTCTACATTATAAAATAACATGGCTGACAAGAGATCATTTACTGACAATCTCTAAGATGCCATCTCACTTTTTTTTTCCTGGAGCTGAGGACTGAACCCAGGGCCTTGAGCTTGCTAGGCAAGCGCTCTAACCACTGAGCTAAATCCCCAACCCCAGCCATCTCACTTTTTTATTGTAGATTCTACATAGCAGGGTATTCTAAAAACTTTTGCTATGAAGTACAAAGAACAGTGTTGAAGGTGCTGTCTTTTAGACAGGAAGGCATAAAGACATTACTACTAACTAGCAAAAGATTGAAAAAACCAAGACTCAAAGAATATTATACTCATTAAGTAGTTGGTATCCTTCATGGAGTCTAAGTGTCTAGTGGCCACTCAAAACACTATATAATTTAAACTCTCATTTGGTCCTGTAATCCTTTCAGAGCAATATTTTGCCAATTCCCCCTAAACTTATTGTTTCTAAAATGAGTTCCAATTTTAGCAGTCCTGGCACAAATATATTTTTAGTGCTGAATGTATGCCAGAACTATACAAGAATTTTTCAAATACTGGTTTTCTTTTTTCCTTTTTATGCCAATTTTCTTTTGTAAGACACACACACTACTTATATGAAAAAAATTTTCTCAGGGAAGATATGGCAAATGATGAAGTTTGCGGTCATGGGCTCTCTGGACAACCTGACCAGCGACAATGGGGACAGAGGAGAACAGAAGAGAAAAGCTTTAGAAGCTGGACAGACAGACCATGATGACCACGGCAAACACATGTATTCTCTCACATAAAAACCTATCTTTGGTACTAGACAAAGTAGCATAACACTCATAATACTTTTTTTAAAGAGACAATATGTGGGTATGTGGGTTGTCCTCTTAGAATCTTCCACTGCCTCAGCCTGTTTCTTGCCTTCTCCTAACACTCAGACTCTACACTGCATTAGAAATGTGTTATTTCCACTAGTGGAGCTGGTACCTTATTTATCTTTGGAACTCTATTCCCATATTCTTGAGAGCAAAAGATATTCAACATTTGTTCTATGATTATTTTTGCTATTCTGGGGGCTTCAAGTAAATATTTTTCAAGCCTAAGCTTGTGTAAGGCAGTTGCTTTCAGGTATTGGACCACCTAAAAAATTTAGAGCACTACTGGATTATGCAAATTACTGACTTTGGTGGATACACTCTACTAGGTTAAAAAAAAAAAAAAAGAAAAACAACATAAAGCCCTCAAATAAATCCTTTTAATGGTTCCTTATCACTTTCTGGGCAAAGTTCGTAGAGCAGTTCTTGAATCATACCACTAATTCAACTCCACCAAGTCCAGCTCTACCAAGCCACACAGACGGCTACCTCCAAACCACCTGTAATTCATGGCCACGTACTGCAGAATGCCCAGCTGCTTGGCAAACGCCTCTGCCAAGACACAGCTGAAAGTCTTCCTTTTCTAAAGCCCTCCCATGTGTGCTTTTTTTTTTCCTTTTTTAATACATACAAAAAATTTTCTTTAAATAAAAATTCCTCAAACCAACACTCATCTTTTTATCCTTAGGCCTGGCAAATAGCAGCTGACTATTGTATACTGGGGGCTGGAGAGATGGCTCAGCAGTTGAGAGCACTGACTGCTCTTCCAGATGACCTGGGTTTGATTCCCAGCACCCACACGGCATCTACAAACCCTCCTTAACTCCAGTTCCAGGGGAATCCGAAACCCTCTTCTGACCTCCGCAGCACTGCGTGACACGAGTGCACTCACATACATGCAGCAGGCAATACACTCATACACACGAAATAAAAATAATTTAAAAAATTAAAAAAATAAATGTTTATTGAAAGAATAAATTATTAATGTATATTCAGCAAATTTGCTCCTATTCTATACAAAGTACTGCCTGAGAAAAAAATGGTATGATTCCAGGTTGTTTTCCATCACTAAATTATTAATGTATAGTCAGCAAATTTGCTCCTATTCTATACAAAGTACTGCCTGAGAAAAAAAATGGTATGATTCCAGGTTGTTTTCCATCACTAATAATGAACAGTATATTTCTCTATTCTAGTTCATCCCATAAACCCATGAATTTAAGATAACTTGAACACTGAATGCCAGCTAATCACATCCTAATCCAAGATACAAGGACAGCCTCTTCTGTTTTGAGTGAATGACTAAGCCAACAAGGCAATATTCACAACTATGGTAAAGGGTGTAGAAAAATACTACTCAAAAAAGCTTTGAAGCTTGGCCTGGTGGTACAGGCCTTGTAACCCCAGGTACTTGGAAGGCTGAGGCAGGAGGATTCCAAGTTCAAGGCCTACCCAGACAACTTAGTCACAAAGTATCCGTGCCTCAAAATAGTTCAGTGGGAGAAACTTGCTGAGCACATGCAAGGCCCTGGGTTTGATTTCTTGAAGGGCAGGGATGAGGAAATATTTGGAATGGTATTGTTTTTGCCATTTAAATTATTCATCTATTTTTTTATGTTATGTGTATGAGTGTTTTGCCTGCATGTCAGTGCACCCATGTCATGCAATGCCCTCCAGAAGCTAGAAGAGGGCACTGGATTCCCTTGAATGGAGTTACAGGAGGTTGTTAGCGACCATGTGGTTGCTGGGAATCAAACCCAGGTCTTTTGGAAGATAAGCCTGTGCTCTTAACCACTTAAGCCTTTTCTCCAGGCCCTGTTTTTTTTAAAAATACAATCTGTATGCTGCCCTGACTGGTCTCCAACTCCAAAACTCAAGCTATCCTCTTGTCTCATCATCCTGCGTAGCTAGAACAAAAGGCATGTGCCTCCACAACCAGGCTTACTGTTCCAATCTAAACATGTGAAATGAATTCAAATGACTCAACTGTGTAGTGTTTTCATCTTTCTGTGTTCTATGTAGGTGAATGCTAGCTACATAGAAGCCACTAAAATGTCTACTTTTAGAAAACCTGTTTTCTGGGCTGTTTGGGCCAAGGCCTACAGGTGGCTTGGGCTTGTCAGGTTTTAAGAGCCCAAGTACATAATCCGAGTGGCTGGGGCCTCTAGGAAATAATCAGAACAGTTAACTTTTTCATTTCATACATAGGCTGTTATGTGCTTAACAAGTCTTGCCACAAGGCTCAGTGTGTTAGGGAGATGGCGTCACATTTCATCCTACAATAACCGAGTCTCTGCAGTTATCTTCAAGCTGCTTTAGCAGTTACTTAATCCCAGGGCTTTATTATCTTCCCTGTACAGATGGGCAATAGGAAAGGAAGGAAGGGTAAGAGGCACCCCCAGTTATCAAAAAAGCCTTGGTTTTCACTCCATCAGCTCCTAATCCTCCCCTCAGAGAACCATGTTTTGTGTGTGAGAGAAGTTTTCATTGACACCAAGCAGGACAAGAGTGGCAAACTAGATCATAGCTTGTCTTACCTGTTTAGTCTGAATGAGGAATCTAAGCTTCCTAGGTCTACAGGCTCTAGACAGCAAGAGATTTGATGAGTTCTGTGGGCTGGATCCAAGTTTACAAATCTACCTCTCTCTTCTCAATTTCAAGACAGCGTTTCTCAAAGTCATTTCTTTTTTCAATAGATCTTTCCAAATTGTATCCAGCCTCCTAAAACTGTCAAGTCATATCTTACAGACCTTTAGATTTCAAGATCTCAGTACAGAGCTACCAGGATCTTCTGTCTTAGCTCACCACAACCATGGCAGCCACTACTGCCAGCTAACTCTAGACCTACACTCTTCTACAGCAATCCCAACGCCCAAGAAGCTCTGAAACATCCTTAGTGCGTCTTCCATGCTCAACCTTTATACAGTGTAAAGACAAGCAATCTGAGTTCTCAATCAACATCATCAGCACTGCTAGCAATGAGTAGGACATTCCCACAGCCAAGGACCCTAATCTGTGGGTGTTCATATAACGATCCCTATATATCTGCTGACCGGGAATTATTTAGCAGGTTCTATTCCCTGGGCCCGAGTGACTTGCATTACTGGGAGATTAGCACAAGCTGAGAGGTGCTGGCGAGACCTCACGATTCGGCTCACTCGACTCAACTGGAAAATTCGAGGCCAAATTATTTCTCCAGCATGCCTACCGCCCGGCATGTAAGTTCTTCCCTGCACTTTGGAGCTAGCCCACGGTCGGGGTGCCCTTCCCCACAGAGTCGCGGGCCACTCGGCAACTCCAACGGCTGCCACCCAGAAACCGCGGAACCCCCAAACCGGCCGGGCCGTCCTCCCCGGCGTCCCGCCGCCCGCGCTCCATCCCGCTGCCCGACCCGGGGCCAAGCGGTCCTGGTCAGCGCACCTACCTCGCACCTCCGCGGCAGGCGAGGCGGGAACTAACGCTCGGCAACCGCCTCAACCGCCGCGCCGAGCCCGCCCACAGCGGGGCGCCCAGCCAGGTGCAGGCTCCGTGCGCCCGCCCACCCCGCCGGAGCGCC